AGGGGCTGGGAAGTTGACTCAGTGGTAGAGCACTTGCCTTGCATACCTGAGGCCCTGGGTTCGATTCCTCAGCACCACATAAGAAAAAAGCCGGATTATTAAAAAAAAAAAGAAAGAAAGAAAGACAGAAAAAAGCCGGAAGTGGCGCTGTGGCTGAAGTGGTAGAGCGCTAGCCTTGAGCTGAAGAGCTGAGGGACAGCGCCCAAGCCCAGAGTTTAGGCCCCACGACCGGACCCAAAAAAAAAAAAAAAAAGCACAGTCATTTTTCTTTAATAAACACCATTTGTTTTTAAATCAAACCATTATATCAGGCTTAATAATAGTTCTGAAAGTATCAGATAGGTAGATACACAAAATTTCATATTGATATAACTGGTCACTGATAACAGCTAGAGGATGTAAAAGCTTCAGAAGTTTTTAAACAATTTCTCATCCATGAGAGGCAATTATTGCATTATTATTCAATAGTAAACTAATACCACTTTGAGCCACAGTACCACTTCCATTTTTTGAGTGGTTACTTGGAGATAAGAGACTCACAGGGACTTTTCTGCTGGGGTTGGCTTCTAACCACGCTCCTCAGATCTCAGCTCCCTGAGTAGGATTACAGGTATGAGCCATTGGCACCCACCTAGTTGTTTTCTTAATAAGTAGTGTTTTTTAATGTTTTTTTTCTCTTATTTTTCCCTCTTGTTTTTTGTTTTGTTTTCTACAGGAACTGGGCCTTGATCTCAGTGCCTGGGTGCTGTCCCTGAGCTTTTCTGCTCAATGCTAGCACTCTATCAATTGAGCCACAGCTCAGCCACTTAACTACTTAATCACATGACTCTAGAGCATACTGGTAGAAATTTAGTTAGTTGTAAAAACTGTATGCTAATGATCCATCACAAAACATAATGGCTGATACAATATTGCGCTGACCTTTTGTGTCAAGAAGTTGTTGTTTTGAGATAGGGTTTTGCTTTGTAGCCCGAGCTGGCCATGAATTTGAGATCCTTTTGTCTCAACTTACCAAGTATTAGAGGTACACATGTGTACCACCACACCTGGCAGCAAGGTACTATTCTCTAGATAATGAAATAATATATATTATGATTTAAATAATATTGTCTTTAAATTCTGAAGGGTTTTTTTTTGTTGTTGTTGTTGTTTTTTATCAGCCATGGGCTTGAACTCTGGGCCTGAACGCTGTCCCTCAGCTCTTCAGCTCAAGGCTACCACTTGAGCCACTGCACCACTTCCGGTTTTCTAGTGGTTTATTGGAGATAAGAGTCTCACGGAGTTTCCTGCCTGGGCTGGCTTTGAACCACAATCCTCAGGTCTGAATGCTTTTTATAATTAATACTTTTTTTTTTCTAGTCCTGGGCTTGAACTCAGGGCCTGGATGCTGTCTCTGAGCTTTAGTCCTCAAGACAAGTACTCTACCACTTGATCCACAGCTCCACTTTTGGTTTTTTGGTAATTTATTGGAGATAAGAGTCTCACCTGTGCTGGTGGCTCATGCCTGTAATCCTAGCTACTCAGGAGGCTGAGAGCTGAGGCTTGTGGTTCAAAGCCAGCCAGTGTAGGAAAGTCTGTGAGACTCTTTTTTTTTTGGTGGGGGGGGCCGGTCGTGGGGCCTGAACTCTGGGCCTGGGCACTGTCCTTCAGCTCTTTAGCTCAAGGCTAGCGCTGTACCACTTGAGCCACTTCCGGCTTTTTTCTTTTTACTTATGTGGTGCTGAGGAATCGAACCCAGGGCCTCATGCATACAAGGCAAGCGCTCTACCACTGAGCCACCTTCCCAACCCGTCTGTGAGACTCTTATCTCCAATAAACCACTCAGAAAACCTGAAGTGGAGCTGTGGCTCAAGGGGTGGAGCACTGGCCTTGAGCTGAAGAGCTGAAGGAAAGCACCCAGGCCCAGAGTTTAAGCCCCATAACGAGAGAGAGAGAGAAAGAGAAAGAGAGAGAAAAAGAAAATGTGTCTCATAGACTTTCCTGTGTGGGCTGGCTTTAAACTATAATCCTTAGATCTCAGCTTCCTGAGTAGTTAGGATTCCAAGCATGAGCTATAGGTGCCTGGCTAATTATTATTTTTAAATAGTTGTACAAAGGGGTTTCAATTCAACAAGTCAGATTATGAGTATAATGCATCTTGATCAATGTTATCTTTTCCATTGTTCTACCTCATGTAAAGTTTTTTGGAAACTAATTCTTTTATCCTATATTCATTTTTGTATGTGGTAATGCTGGGGTTTGAGCTCAAGTAGTTTACTACTTAAGGCACCCCTCAGCCTTTTTTGCTTTAGATTTTGTTTTGAAATAAGAAGTCATATTTGGGGGCTGGGAAGGTGGCTCAGTGGTAGAGCACTTGCCTTGAATGCATGAGGCCCTGGGTTCCATTCCTCAGCACCACATAAGCAAAAAGAAAAAAGTTGGAAGTGGTGCTGTGG